GAGTCAGGACTCTGCGGGGCCTGTGGAGGATGTGTGTTGTAGTTGAAGTGCAGTGGCAAGCTTTTTGAATGGCTTAAATTGGTGAGGGGCCTAAACTACACTTAGGATCTCTTATATTACATTTAAGTTTTTGTCCTTAAAACGACAGGAGAAAAACGAAAAAAAAAAAAAAACCAGAATGATAAATAAATATCTTGATGAAAGTCGGTGTATTGTATATTATTTCTATTCCCCTGAGGGCACTAACATTGTGACCTGTAGGCAGCCCTCCTTTACCAACATATAAAATCTCAACGGCAGTGCCATGTATAGCCTAGTGTTGGCGGAACGTTGGTTTTTGTAAAGAGAATGGAGCCCTCTAGTGGCGCTTGCTTTAAAGGAGCCTCACATTGGTGCTAGGTCGGAACTGTGGAGTGGAGTCTCCTTGGAGCCCGTGAAAATGTAAAGATAACTTTTAAGAAAATGCTATAAGGTATCCAGTTCCTTTACTTAATGACATCACATTCAGTATTTCTTTCAATTGTACTGACATGATTGTGTTGACTTAGGTGTACATTCCAAGCCGAGTGGCCCTCGTCCTTCACAATGTGGACCTGCCCAACTGAAGAGACCTGGTTTCAGCTCCTCCAGGGGGAAGACGTGCGTTTTGTTTTTCGGTTGTCGTTGTCACGTAGCTTATAACATGTAAGCTTTTCAAAATATAGTGTCTAGCCAATACAGGGTACCAAGATTGTTGTTATGTTTTTTCAAACTATCTTGAGAAATACTGTAATAAATATGTAGAAATAATATAAAATTAAGAATTGCCATAGATAATATAATGATATTGATATATCATATCAATATATCATATCAATAATATCAATATATTGATATGATAATATAATATAATGAGTTCATTATCTATGAACTCATCCATGCTTCATCTTGCGTGTTTTATCTTGTGATCTCTTATTCACTTAATGTCTTGGTAGATGCTGATATCTCTCTTTCTGAAGGCCTGAACTGGTAATTGTAACATTTCAGGAAATGTCTTTTACTCAATAAAAACATAATTGCAAAATTTCCTTTGCTAATGTTTATTTTGCTGTACTATTATGGGGATTGACTGAGAAGGAATATTAAAATGCCTGTCTCAACTCTGACACCTCCCCCACACATACGCACATGTGCATGACTAGGTATGGGAGTTAATAATATTTTTTTCTTGACTATTTTGCAAATTGAAATTATATTAACGAACTCAGGTATCTAAGCTACTCTCCAGCTGTAAACCTGAGCACACTTAGAAGCTGAATTAACTACTCAGTGGGATACTCAATCATGAAATTATCCCTCGGGTTATGAAATAGTAGGTCACAGGTCTAAATCATTGATATGTGATTCATTCATAACTAAGAAATTACAATGCACTTATACACATAAAGTATCTGTCACTTTTTTAAACATCTATTTTTTTTTCTTTAGATTAATACTATTTTTTGTTTGTTTGTTTTTAGCCTGGTTATTCATGACTAATAAGTAGTACTTGGAAGTCTTTCTATTGAAAACTGGTTCAGTAATAGAAGAGATTAGCAAAAGAGACATAACTAAACCTATCTATTAACCACCTTCCTTATAACTTTTTGGAGTAAAGCTTTGACTCTAGGTTTGAAACATGTTATTTGCTTTAACTTCAAAGTAGAATAATAGTTTAACTTCCTGAACGAATCAGCAATGCTAGCTGATGTTGACACATAGTAGGACACATTACTGAATGCCTTTAGTGTTGCTTTTCCCATCACAGCACTGGTATTAATATCTTAGCACTGCTGTGATCTGCATACTGTACCTGATAGTGATAATATAGTATGCAACCATGATGTCTCGTGTTCTAGTTTATAATTTCTTATGTATGGAGAAAAGTGCTAATTTTCTAGTATGGTTCTTTAAAAATGGCAAGAACCCATTTTCTTTCCCTTGTGACCTCTGTTGCAAAGTCAAAAGGACCAAAGTAATTAGATGCTACATTTTCATCATATGTATGTATAATCATCGACTTTACTAATATAGTCTTCAGGTTTTGGTCTAAAATTTAATGATGTAAGTTAGTTCCCTTTGTCAAGTGTCCTCCTCCCAAGAAGAACAATAAACAGATGTTGTTAGGTAGGAATTATAAAAAATATATGCAAACACTAAGAATCCAAAATGAGTATAGCAGGCAGCCTTCATAGAACATTCCAATATTGTAGTATATTTCACTTTAGGTCTTCTCAGTAACAGTCTTGTCATTATGTAATCTGGTAAGAAGTTCTTCATGTTATTGGTTAAACATTTTCAATAATCACAACAGAAAGATGCAAACATTTACTCTGTGTGCCTGATAATAATGTTTGTTGTTTTTTTTTTCGCTCTGATGTGTTTATTGCCACCATAAAAAATGGGAATGGTCTATGTTTCTTGACTCTTTTAGGATAAGTATCTTTACTGTTTTAACTTTTTATATTGTAGGAAAAAAACAACTATAGATTTCTTTTCATCATTTTTAAATATTAGGTGAGTGCTAGTAATTATTTTATTATCCCAAATTGAATTTACTCCTAATGCTAATGATGCTTAGGGTTTTATTTTCATATTAGCTTACTTGGATAGTTTTTAATATTCCAAAGTGGAACCATAAATAGTTTTCCTATAATGTTTCCCACTTTATAACACTTGAACTCTGGGGGTCAACTCCTTTCATATTTTCTTTTCTGTACATCTGATGTTTCTCGCTTTTCCCTGTTCTTAGCTGATGTATTCATCTCTTACATCAAATGAGGGACTTAGGCACCACGTACCTCAAGTTCAAAAAATAACCAGTGACAATAAATTGACTTTTCTCTAGGTAACTGTTAAAGAACGTAGGGGTTTTTTTTTTGGGTTTTTGGGGGGTTTTTTTTGCTCTGTCTGAAGCACTCTCCTTAGGAATATCAATTCAACATTTGTCACCCATCAGGGTTACAGCCCTTGCTATGCGGGGTCACACTCGAAGTTGTCTGAATAAGGAGCCTATTCTTCAAACAATACAGAGGAGAGTGGATGGAGCTGGGGGCAACTAGGAAGGGTAATGTGTTTTCCTCTTGTGTTCAGCAAGCAGCTTCAGGGCAAATACCTTTTCACTGCTCTAGTCCTGCAGCCCTTGAACTTGGTGATGAAAACAACATAAAATCCGTTTTCTATAGCTCTTCCTGTTTAGAAGGAGCCAGAGCAGACATCTCTGATGGAAATCAAAACAGTGAGGGAGCTTCCTGGCTGGCCTGGCACGTCTCAGACTATTTCTTTTTCCCTTTTTTGCATCATATCCTAAACGGGGGTTCTTTAGAATTGCAGGTTTCATTAATCTATATATTCCTTATAGGGAGACAAGCACTGAGCTATGAACTTGGCCAGGTAGAATATTTTGATGAAAGAGAATAGAAATCTAAGGCATAGCAATGTCATGTCCTTTATTTGGTAGAGTTCATTTATCATTCGCAGTGCGTTAGAATTGAAATGTAGATAAATTCTCCCACTAAAGCCAGCCTTCAGGGGCAAAGAAATCAAATGAACTCCCTCTTAATTTTGCTGCTTTACTATCTTATTAATGGTGATTTGTAGAGAATTGCAGAGAAACATTTATACTTTAGGGCAGAATTTCTTAATTGGTAGTGTGAGAAATTATGATACAGTAGCTATACGTGTTTTTTTGTCTCTCTGTAATTTAAAACATTGCATCTGGATTGTAACTCTTGGCAAAAACTGTGTACAGGACAATGTTAATTTACATGAAAAATGGACTTTGTGATAGATACGCTTATGCTAAAGGGTATGTCATTCAGAAGTTTACTCATGACTTACAGTTTTTCTTGTCATTTCTGCTTGACCAGAGAGAGGTATTTGGCCCTCATATATGCTGTGTAGTCTATTTCACCTAGAGGCCTGCATTATATTTTAATAGAATAGCATAAAATAATGGTCAGAAGACCTGAGTTCAAATTATAGCTCTTTACTCCCAATGCCTCATTTTAGAAAACACTCAATGACTCTTAGTTCTTATTCAGGATTATAAGACAAAGTGTAAGGAAAAAGAAAAAGTCATCACTGTAGGTTTTAGAAATGCTATTATTTGAGCAGTAGTTACATGGATGGCGAGTCAGTGTTTAGAGACATCCTCCAGGTTTGTAGCCAGGACCCTCTGTCCCCACTGCATGTCTGTCCTTCCAGCCTTCTTCACTAGGTTATCTGCTCTCTCTCTCCAGAAGGGAGGTATTGGCTGTTTTCCAGGGAAGTGGCATTTCCACCAACACTGCAGATGACAAAAACATCAGTCATCCTCCACTGCTGCTTTTGCTCATTTTAGCTTTTTCTCTGAGCACAGTAGGACATCACAGTGAATTTCTTCCCCTGCAACCAGTGTACCGCCCCTCAGCGTGTCAGCTACTCTCAGACTTTGCACTTCTATAACCCAGCCTTGGGAATCAAAGTTAACAACCTCCTGATGGTAACCAGTAGGGCAGTGTAAACTGTGTATGGAATCAAATCACCAGGGTGCCCTTCAGTGAGGCACAGACACCAGGTGTTGAGGGTCTCTATTTCATTCCCTGTTCCCCATCTGCTCACAGCCCAGTATACACTACTAGCAGTAGGAATAAGTGGCAGAGAAAACAGGACTGCACAAGACAGCACAGAGGTTTGGCCCATCATTTTTTTGATTGAAAGTCTACATCTAATTAAAACAAAACAAAACAAAAAAACCCCACATCTTCATTAAATAAATGTTTGCACAACTAAATATCGGGTTGTTGTAAAAGTCATGACACAATTTTGCAGTGAAAAACAGAAAAAAATACATCGTGACTTTTCCGACAACCCACTATTAATTTCTTGAAAAAGGGAGTGTGATATCAACTGTTGATCTGCAATTTCCACAATTGTCTGGTACAGTCAGCCTCGGTATTCATGGGTTCCGCTTCCATAGGTACAGAAGTCTAAGGGACTTGAGCTTCTGTGGATTTTAGTATCCATGGAGGTCCTGGAACCAATTTCTCGCTGATACCAGAGATGACTGTACTTACAATAAGACACGATATTACACTATGTTACTCTGTCACACAAACATAGAAATTAAATGAGATGTGTTTAACATGTTTGTGCATACTTATCTAAGGTAATAGAGGAAATAGAAATCCGTAGATGTGAATAAGTTCATCTAACATAAATATTTATAGCATATGAAGGGGTATGTGAATACACAGACATACATAATTTGTAAGAAAAATGAAAACCCACAAAGTTCACTGATTTCCATGTTAATCTTGAACTAATGAATCACTTGATTTGTGTGTATGTACTCAATATTAGATATTTTTATTGTATCATAAGCATCAAATCTAAACAAGCAATTTTATTTGGATTGAAAGAAGTTTTTCAAATCTTGGAATGAAATACACTGAAATGTTTCAATTTATTTAGAGCATTTCTCACCTCAAACTATTTGGCAATTAGTCTTTTATTTTTTCCTCTAGAAAGCGAAGAGGAAGAAAATGAAATACCTCTATTACTTCTTTATTTATGTCCACTAGGGATTCTTTTTAACTGAGTTTGTAGTGTCACTTTCTATTTACCCCAGTGATTTAAACGATGAAAAACACTCCGTGTAATTTCATTTCACAAATGCCTCTAGCAGTGATGTCAACTATTAAATCCAATCATATGATAGAGAGGTCCCCACCTCATACATAACAGAGTCACTATCTTCTTATGATAAGGGAGCATCACTCAGCTATATAGAAACAGCTGAATACCTAATTCTTTACTAAGCATATATATTTAAAGACATACTGTATTGGCTGTCAAGTACTGAGTACTTTCTTGTTACTATTCCCTGTGCTGGCACTTTATACACATTATCACTGAGTCTTCAACTCTGCAATGTGATGATTATTATCCTTGTTAGAGTCTAGGCTCATGCTCATCTTACTGCATTCTGTTGTCTTCTATAATGGATCATTGGTGATCTCTACATAAGGGGTCAAAATTTGAGTCTCACATTTGTACCGTTTGCTTC